TAATTAAAGAAATGAACATAAGTAAACTTGGCATGCATCACTTTCGGTTTTTAACCGATTATTCGAAATCGATCATAACTGATAACCGAAAACTTTTTTATCTGCACAGATTCTTGAACATATGTTTGAAACGCAATGAAGGAAACATCTATTGTTTAATCAACAAATGTTTATTCGGAAGACAAGATGTTCAGAATTGTACGCCGTACATTGTTTGGATCCAACGCTTTTCATGGAAATTTAAGGAAAAAAGTTACTTTGAAGGTACAACTTTTACTTTTTGAAAAATTTTACTTATTTTAAAATAACTTTTTTTCTTAAACTTTTCTGAAAAATGTTGAGTACAAAAAATGATTGACATGTATTCAAGAAAACATCAAACTTTTAAAAGGAACGTTTTCTCCGACCCATATGGTCGCAGCAAAAGAATTGTTGTTACAACAAAAAGGATTGTTATAGCCAGGCGATGTTCCGATCTATTATCTGGCTCAGTCGTAACGAAGTCCCTGTATAGTTGTATAAAAAGCAACGTACGTACATTTATCATATAAATAAGAAGCTAAGCAATTATTTATCTAATAATAAAAAGCTGAAGCTGTTCGAGAATATCAATAAGCTCTTGAAAGTAGCAAAAAACGCTCTTTGCGTCCAGAATCGTGATCTTTGGTAAATGTCCGTAGAGTGTGAGTCACGAATTTGAGAACAACTTAAAACTACTATTTCTCAAAACCAGTAGCAGTTTTGATTTGAAAGATCTTTTTCGTGAACGTGACCGGACTTGAACAAATTTTCAAGTTATTTCTACTATCTGCAAGAGATTTTCGTTCAAATTAGGCATTTTTTTACCGTGAAACGGAGTTTTTGAGACTAAAAAGACCTGTCTCTCACTCAAAAGGCACTAGCAAATTTTATGTTCTGCCTATTTTTTAATCAGACTTGACTTGAATTGGAGGAAAAAATTTCGAGGGATGACTTGACTTGAAAAATTTTTAGTGACTTGCCTCGATTTGTGACTTATAAAGCCTCTGACTTGTCCAGCTTTATTTCAGTTGCATTATTGTACAGCACAGATTTTTAGCGTGCTCCTTCTTTCAATTAAAATTTACTCAATTCATCGTATTCATCCTCGTTGCATTTTGTTGATAATGCGATCGATTTTACAGTCTGTAATATTGTTGTCATGTTCCTAGAATAGAAAAAATAATTTTTTTACTTCAGTTGTCTTTGTGAGGAAGCAAGGGTCTATTAATGACAGATGGACCATATAGGGTTGAAGTCCGTCGAAGAGTAGGCGGTATATATTGAAACAGATTATAAATATTGTAATAATTTCTATGACGTTTAGTAGTAAGTTGATAGAACAATATGGCTTAGAAAGTTGGTCCTTTCGTCATGTTGAATATTTTTCGTTTCATCTTTCTTCTTAACTTTTTATAGAAATAAGTTTGATCAAGTTTTGTACAGAATTTGACGACACATCTTTTGAAAACGACCAGGTCTAAGGATTGTACAAGTTTGTTTCTACGCAAAAAACCCCGATATGTAATGAAAAATTGGAAAAAAGTCAATGAAAAACCTCAAAACCGTCGGAAATACACGGATCAGTACATCTGAAAAATGGTTACAACCATACTCGCTGACTATTTTTGTCCCGCTTTTCGAGATCCTTCCCTTCCTCGCTATTGACGTACCTAGTGAACATCTCCAAAATTTTTTGACGCAACATATCTAAGTACTCGAAGAACAGAACAAAAAAACTATCAGTTTCTAAGGTTCCGCTAATTCAATGATCAAGCAGGGTTTTATTTTTGCCTGAAACACATATCATTCGTCGCAGACTTTCAAGCTGTATACAAATATCATATTTAAAAAATTTTCAGTGCGCGTTTTCGACAAAAGAGAATCAAAAAGCTGAAAAGAGGCGTTTTTTCGAAAAATCTCTACTTCTTCATAAATACTTGGGGTTCATATGGACTGAGAAGTGGTCTCTGCAGCCTTCCGTGGACGACACGATCAAAAAAATCCAAAAATCTTACGGTAAACTGAAGTGGTTGTCTAAGTCAAAAGAAGTCTCGATTAAATTCAACAGAAAATGTTTCTTTGCATGTTCATTTCCTTTCTTCTCCTGCCTCTAAAAAAGGAATCAAGTCATCAAGTTTAAGCGCTGGATCCTTGATTCTTGCGTCATTAGAACCGTCGTGAAACAAAGAACAAAATTATATATCGAGATAAAAAAAATTTTCTTTTCTTTCGAAATATCTAATTTGTATTGAAAATCAGACTACAAACTAGGAATTCTGTCCGTGATTCCCAGTTTTCTCGATCAGAACTCAACCTTTATGCAATAAAAGTATCATACTCGGAATCAGAAACAAAAACTGAGTCGATTGATATGTATTTCTATTTTATCCGACTACTTTGATGTTTTTCAAAAGTGTAATGAACGGAATAGTGTAATAAGATATAGTTAATGACGTTATAGTTGGGAAATAGCATTCTCCTTCAGCTGCCGGTATTCTTTCTTTTCTTTTGTTAATCACCTTCTTTCTCTGTTTTGAAAAAAGCAAATGATGAAAGATTTGATGTTTCTTGTCTTTCTTTTCCTTTACCCTTCTGCAGACGCTGCGATGAATAATACTTCTTACAAAAAAGTTCCAACATAAATTACTCCCCTGCACTTGGAAAATTCCAACTTATAACAGAACTCTATAAAAGAACAAGAATGTACCAGAAAAGAGTCAGTTTGTTAGTGGTAATAGAAAACAATGGCACAAGCCGTCGATACCATAACTGCTGCAGCAGCTCCTGCGAGCGATTCATCTGCCGAAGGTCTAGGCACAGTACCACCATGGGCACAACATGTAATTAGTCAAAGTGCCAATCTTGGTATCAAACTATTTACGTACCAACAGCATACCGCCAAGGTTGCCATTGTCGACAATGCTCGAGGTCTTCTCAACGCTCCAGGCATTGAATTCCCTCAACGTGTGACTAATTTGATCGATTATAAAACAACGAATTCTACAGTTTTACTGGAGAACTGTTTCCTTGAACATTGTGGCGTACCTGATCGCAGTCTAATCGATACTGCGAAGGGTATGACACCCGATGGTGCGAAAAGCATGCAGCAAAATATGCTTAAAGGCCTAGATGGTGTCAAACAACAAATGGCTAGTGACTATTTGTTGGTATCGGCTATCGCTTCAACCGGCTTAATTGTTGTACAAATCATCAAACTATGGAATGTATGGAAAGAAATCAAACTGGCCGATAACTTGCACAAAGATCCGAATAAGTTTTTGGAAATTGAACAGAACATGCTAATTTTTGAAGATCTATGTACAAAAGTACGCCAATCAATCGATCGCAAGGAATCCCGTCGTATTCTTTCGTTTACCATGAAGTTGAGTAACAAATATGCAGAAACGCTCAAACTGGTGAACAGTTTGCAAATCAAAATTGAAAATGTTATGCAGCGTCTCGACCTGGCTGGAGACTCTCAGATATATGATGGCCTTTCGAATTTAATTACGGGTGGAAGTAATGTCGCTCAACTAATCCCACTTTTTGAATCTCTTTCCAATCCCAAGAAGGCGTTGGGCTGTGTAATGGCTGGTGCTTTCTTTGTTCTAATTGGCTTCAATGTTGCCATGTATCATATGACACGAAAGCGTTTGCAAGAGCTACGAGAAGATTATCAAAAGTTACAACAGCTTGAATTACAATTCAAGAAACTGAATTCCGATATACAGCTAGTGTTAGAAGAAGAAGAGGAAAGACAGTCAAGAAACTGATTATTGTCACTTGCTCTAGTTTATATTCGAGAATAAACTTTTTTATGATTATCAAGAAAGAAGTAAAGCAAGAGTTGAGAGATCTTCGTGTGAGAGAGGTAATTTCGGTGCCACAACCGACTAAACTAATCGAAGTTATATAACTTCAATGTTTTTCAACTGCGGTTCTTAAGGTCTCTGAAGACCTTAGCATCTATACCCAGCTTGAGAAATCTTTTTTATTTTCATCATCGAAATTAGACAAGCCCAGGAATGTCTCTATTCGTCGCTCTAGGACCGACGTTGGATCACGGCCAAGACTTCTTGCAAGAAATTTTGCGCAACAACTTTTTCAAAAGTCTAACCCGATTGAATTATCGTTGTCAAGGCTTGGTCTACTTTCGATGACAATGGGTTATTTCGTCTATCATAGGTTTTCACTCGGTTCTTGCATGTTGTTGTCAAACTGGCATTGCCACGGGATTCAGCGTGATCGTTAAGCCATGTGTTCCTGCATTCTTGAAGGTCCTAGCAACGAATAGAGACATTCCTGGGCTTGTCTAATTTCATTGATGAAAACAAAAAAGATTTCTCAAGCTGGGTGTAGATGCTAAGGTCTTTAGAGATCTTAAAAACCGCAGTTGAAAAACATTGAAGTTATATAATTTCGATTAGTTTAGTTGACTGGCATGTGTGTGCCAATCAAAACCATGTCATTTATGAAAGTTTCAACAGTTTTAGTGGAAAGCCATTTTAAGCCGCTGCGTGGATATTTCTGCCATACTTAAAAAGTAGTTACCACAAAGTTATCTAACTGATAGTTACCGTTATTTCAACGGTAACTTGAAACCCAGTTAGCGTTAAAACAACGGTAACAGAAAAGACAGTTATCGTTGTTTTAACGCTAACTGATAAGTTAGTTACCGTTAAAATAACGGTAACTGTATTTTCAGTTAGCATTAAATCAACGCAACGGGGACTTTTACAGTCCTAATACAAATATCAAAATGTTTTCACAGGTCTCTAAATCACTTTCCAGCTTTAGAAACGCTAGCTCTGGTGATTCGAGACAATCATTACTTATGCCAGTAGCTTCTCAGGCGACCGAATGACGAAATTAGTCAGCATTATGCTCATCATACACGACTGACGAGTATATATATGACTTGAATGCAACTAGTTGCTTTGCAGTTCTTCAAATCGACGTTCACTCAACGTCAACGAACCAATGAAATTTTTCAATAATAATGGTGCGCAGTCCCAGAATAAACCCGAATTTAAGTTTGCCAAGATATCTGGGTTTTCTTTTAATTTCTTGAAATAATGGTAGTGTTCGTTGACCGATTGACGTAAGAGCTTGACTGTGTCGAATAATGATTCACATTTGGTTTTTGTACTTCGATTATTTTGTTCTTGCTCGTAGGTTTAGATCGATTCGTTATTATTTAACGACATTGAGAGTGCCAAACGTGTGTAAACCGACAAATTATTTAGTGCAACATAAGTGCCGCTGTACTTGTTCAAAGTGGTGAAATGTAGTTCATTGCCGTATATCGTTACCAGACGTGCACGAATCACTGTTGTTCGGACTATCGCCTCTGTTGATGGCTGATTTCGGCGGTGTAAAATGCATATGTATTTGTTGTATATGTATTGCATGTTGTTGCATATGTATTTGTTGTCTTATTTTCGGTTCTTCGTCGGGAACCGGAACCGCGGTTCTGTAGATGGTTCCTTTTTTTCGGAACCGAGACTTTTTTAACTATACATACTACAGTTTTATATCGAGAAAGCTATATTTAGCGTTCATAAGGTATACTTGTGTGCAACTTCTTTTACATGAGATCCTCTATACCTGGCAAACCTATCGATACTTCTTAGATAAGAGATAAAGCTAATATTATTATGTCGTGATACTGGCCTTCACCACTGGTTTCTTTAACTTTTTTCGATCGTTTTGTTAATAGAGCAGATTTTAAGCCAGTAGCTTCTCTTTTTCTGGTAGACATAGTACGGAGATATTTACTTTTACCACGTTTTGTTAAAAAAATATGATAAAGTAACATGATTCAACAAAGATAGAGATGTGTTATTCGAGAAAATGAGTGAACTGTTAACTTAATAGTTTGTCTGGTCTTAAAACTGTTAAGAACCGACGATAGAAAAGTACAGCATTGAAAGAAAAAGAACAACTGTGAACGGACGATCAAATTTGTATTTCTTTATGAAGTGCAAAACGACGGGCGAAACAATAGTTCGTTCTTTTCTCTTCTGCCTTATCTTTTTGTCTTGCCTTTCTTATAATAAAATGAAAACACACTATTGACAAAGCTGCAAAAAGATATATTTGCCTGCCATCATTTAAAAGAATCCTTTCGTTTACTATAAAATGAATCTTATTTCGTTGAATTGTTAGTGCTTGAAAAATTCTTTTTCGGTTCTAAGCTGAGAACCGAGAACCGCGGTTCTGTTCTAAGTCGAGAACCGGAACCGCGGTTCTTTTCGGTTCGGTTCTAACTCGAGAACCGGAACCGCGGTATCGGTTCCAGAACCGAGAACCGAACATCCCTAACTACAAACGAGTATTCCAGTTTTTTACCAGTCTTAAATACTTCCGAACGAAAACAAAACGTGAAAGATTGTATAGTGATGTGGTTTGATTTTTGCATTGATGACACAGCTGTGACCACAAGAGAAAGAATTGAGGAACTATGTCATATAGTTTGCACATTACTAACATTCACTAATTCAGATGAATGCGTTGAGCATATAAAACAGATGAAAGGTAAAAAAATCTTTTTAATTATTAATGATACGCGAAGTACAACAATCCTTCAGCAAACACACTGGTTGCCACAATTAAAGTCAATTTATATTTTCTGTTCTAATAAAGAAGAACAAGAACAATTGTCAAAAGATTATAAAAAAGTACGAGTTATTGATACTCAAATGGAATCGATTTATCCACTGCTGAAGCAAGACATGATAATAGCACAAGAAGAAGACAGTTTTCTTAAGATAAATATTTTTCCTTCATCAGCTTCAACAACAGCAAATGAATTATTAGGTGGTGATGTAAAGAATAAACAAGAAAGCTCATTTATGTATTTCCAATTGTTAAGAGAAATTCTACTTGAAATAGACGAAACCGGTGAAAATGCTAGGAAAGAAATGAACAAAACTGGTAAAAATGCTAGGAAAGAAATGAAGAAAACTGGTAAAAATGCTAGGAAAGAAATGAACAAAACTAGTGAAAATGCTAGGAAAGAAATGATTGAATACTATCGTCAAACATTTGATGGAGATGACGATAAACTTAAATTCTTAGATGATTTTGAGACTGAATATCGTCCAGACCAAGCTGTAACATGGTACACACGACAAAGTTTCCTTTACAGAACCTTAAATCATGCTCTTCGAGAACTAAATGTCGAAGATTTGTATAAACTGCGTTTTTTTATCAAAGATCTACATCATCAATTATTAGAATTATATTTGGAGGAGAGCAAAAATTCTTTAAACAAAATAGATTTTCTTTATCGCGGAACAGGTATGTATAATAAAGACTTTCACGATTTACAGAAAAATTGTGGTGGCCTTTTATCGTTCAATAATTTTCTATCGACAAGTACGGAAGAAGATGTAGCACTTGTCTTCGCGAAGGACAGCTTAGAAAAGAAGGACATGACAGCAGTCCTCTTTGAGATTGAAATAGATCCAAGCATTCCTACTTGTCCATTTGCTGATATTAGCAAAGTCAGTGAATTCGCAGACGAATCTGAAGTATTATTTTCGATGGGTGCAGTATTTCGAATCGTTACGATAAGTCTTACTGATGGTGTGTATAAAGTTAAGATGAAATTGACTGGAGATGAAGACAAACAACTGAAAACATTAACAGAATATATTAAAAAATATTCTATTGGAGATGGTAAATATGGATTAATTAGTTTAGGGAAACTGATGTATCAGATGGGTGATTATGACAAGGCCGAAGATTTTTTTCGTTTATTACTAGAGGATAAATCATTGGTGAATAATGATGTTCGTCGATTGTCTGTAATTTATAACGATCTTGGCGCAATTTATCAAGAAAAAGGTGATTATGAGAATTCATCAGTTTACCATCGAAAATGTCTTGAAATCAAGGAACATCATAAACCACTAAAATTAGAAATCCCATCAACCTTATCCAATATTGGT